CCCCAAAACCCCAAAACCCCAAAACCCCAAAACCCCAAAACCCCTATTCTGACAAGACTAGTTGAAAATATTGATTAAACCTTAATGAATAGTCTTGAAGTCTACTGATCTTTCCTCGTCAATGTCAACTATAAGCCAGTCATCGTCTTTTTCTTGCTTCGTCATCTTCTCAGCAGAAGTAGGGTCATCTTCCTCCTTGGTTGGGGCAAAACGTGCTTTTATTTTACCTATAATCAGAGCTGAGGGTTACTTTTATATTTCTTTCCTGGGAACATCTTAGTATTGAAGTCTTCTATTAGCAATTTATCCTTCATCAAATCTAGGATCCATCTAAACAAGGTTAGGAGGAGCTTAACTTGTTTATATTGTATGCGATTCCAGCAACTATGTGCATTCCTCAAGTCTCGTCTTTACCGATATATACCCCGATAAGCTGTACTTTATTTTCTGATATGCTCATCACAGGTGAGCCGGCCATTCCTTTGGTCATTTCCAAGTCCCGAAAGACCAGTAGTTTGGAGATGCCATCTTCAATGTTTATCTGGTCAAAAACTATTCCTCTCTGCTGGAACATTGCTCCATCTCAATCTGCCGGGTATCCTGTGATAAACATCTCCTCCCCATCCATCACCTTAAAAGTAGTTGGTAACGATGGTGTTATTTTAGCTAGCATTTTCTTAAAAGCATCTAAATCCTTTATAAAAGACTTTGATTTGGTAATATCAAAACTAGCCACTGCAATGTCATAGCCTCCATATAGCCCAGGGTGTGCTAAATAATTCGGATGGAATTTAAAGCTAGATAACGGAGTTTTTACCCAATAGTCTTTTTCACCGTCTCTTGCTAGAAACATTGTAGCTCTTTTAGCATACTCAAACTCAGGGCTTCCATATGCCTCATAGGAGTGCAAAAACGTGCTTGCAGCTGTAATAATAAACACCTTTTGGACCCCCTCCATGATGTAAATAGACCCTGAGGTGATGAACTTATTTGGATTCCCCATCAATTTCGAACTCTGAGACAATTAGAGTGCCACGACTCCGCTATAATCAGTATAATTAGGCGTGATCCGCTTGCTTTTCTCGCCATAATAGCTACTCCTTGAATCAGCTAAGGCAGGTTATTTCAAGTGAATTCTTACCGTCAAGAGTCTGATCAGCTTTGCGCATATAGGACTTCTTATCTGAAGAATGCAGGTAATAATGCATCTCATCTAGGCAATCGTCTATCTCTGCTGGGTCTAACTTGGCCCAAACAGCAGTGTCATAGTTCACGTCTAAACCTTTAGTGCAGCAGTCTCCCATTGTGTGATTTCTTGTTATAAAATTTCAAATTAAATTATATCTTTTGGGGTTTTGGGGTTTTGGGGTTTTGGGGTTTTGGGG